CACATGTCCTATTGTATGTGATTTGCATCATCCATTTATATAGCAGCTTTGGAAGTTGTAACATTCTCTGTAACAGCTCACGTATGCTAATTCCAGTCTGAAACATTCGCCAAACATTAAGCGCGTCGTTCTTGCCAACGTAAAAATCAACAATCGCATAAATCTGAGTTTCCTAACTTGTGGTCCGCGAATTAATTTGTACGCATCTGTATATTCTATAACATATGGACCAAAGTCCATTACAATAGCGGAAAATAATAGACATTAATGCACAACTAGCGACTTCACTTTCTCGTTACCGTGGTATCGAACATTACTCCTATTTCCTTGTCACCTTTGCTGGGATCTCACTTAGAAGACCGGCTATCGTTAGAGAGGGTTTTCGCAAATTTAAATCAGTCCATCAAGGCAAATTCCCGGATACCGAAACCTATATTAAGCCACGACAGCTTTCTTCAGTGTTTTCTTCGATTAATCAACGTTTCAGAGGTCCATAGCACCTAAACGATCAGGGCGATTGAGGTAGCAAGCGCCTCTGAAACGTCGGTAAACTTCTACCAGACTACACGGCACTACATTCTCACTGCCATGAGAACCTCAAATCCTACTTAACCGTTAATTTATAATTCGTTATTGCGTAAATATATAAAATCTTATAACAATAGCTACCACACTTAGGCCACTTTTATATTTCACAATTCCTTTAATCCAATTCCTCTAATGTCTTGAGCCAGTGGTAAGGTTTTATATGAAGTTTTTCGCTGTCCCTTGGGCCGCCGTGTCACATTCACACGGCACATCGTAACATGCGTGCAACTAATAAGCGGAGAATTCGCTGCGAATTTAAAATACCCCATCCTCATGACGTCCGATCGGTGACGGGCTTGGGCACAGAGCCACTGGGATGTAAAATGCAGTGAACTCTGTGCCACTTCAATTTTATGGATGCCTAAATCCCAGTGTACTGTGGTTAGTTATGTTCGTTTTTATATACAAATCAAAAACATTTTGTAAACCGATGCCACAAGTTTTATTGTGAGTTATAGGCCGATGATGTATCGACTCATGTAGTGATTAAATGATGGATGTTTACACACGAAACACTTGGGAAGAAAAGAGTGTTTAAAACCGTTATACAGTAGATTCCGGTTAATTAGGCCATCGATTAATCGGCAGCCGTTTATTTGGCACAAATCTTAAAGAACAAAACCTTTTTATCTCTTTACGTGGAACTTCGCATAACTGGGGCAGACGCTTAATTGGACCAAAGTGTTCTAGTTCCGAAGAGTCCCTATTAACCGGAATCCACTGTATTAATAATTTAGTTCAATTCCTTTATTGAAGTCTTTACCAACAGCACAATGCCTAAGATAAGAAACATGCAACACTAATAAAAATATACACACCCGATATCCTATAACGTAAAGGAACATATTAAAATTACCGCGAAATCTACGTCTAGCTGTTCCGACAGAATTTGTATCAGAAAATACTTTTAAATAGTGTGAGATGAAAATTACGCCTAATTATTTTTTTAATTAAATATGTAGTTTCTTAGAAACCCTTAGCATTTGATAAAATGAGAAATAGGCACATACATAACAGCCGATTGGGCTTATAAATTGTTCGTATAGTCATAGGAACTAGAGACATTGTTGTTAACTCTTTACATTTCAGCCACTCCATTTAGTTCGGCTGTTTTGTTAGTTTGGTGTCCAGTATTTTCAACCATAAAGAGACATTACTTTATAAAATCCTGAAGTGTCCATTTTCATAATCTGCCGCCCAACGTTCTTTCAACTGTTTCGCCCATTGAAATTAACTTGCTTTCAAATAAAAATAATTAAATTTTAGATATTTATAAGCAAATATCCCAGGTATTTAAAGTTAGACACTTTTTTAATTGGAAGCATGCATCGTAACAGAATTCTGATTCTTAACTTCAAGTATTCTAAATACCTAACTACACGAAAGTATAAATTACGCCCAAAATTTTATAACCATCTAGCCATCATTTTTAAATCATACTGGCCACTTTATTTAAGCTTATGTTTTGTCATCATTTACCTACTCTGTCAACAGCTCAGACTGTAAATCGCCGGACAATTAATTGGTAACGAATTGGAAAGGACGTAGAAGGAAATAGTCGTGGCCTAATTTAAGGTACCATGGAGTCATTTGCCTGGAGAATATCAGTCAAGACATCCTGGGACATCAAATCACGGAGCAGGAGTGCTCGGTTTAAACGTCGTAAACTCTTCGTCGAACGTCTTGCTTTGTCCATGAAGGCGAAGCTACTGGTCAATAAGACGGCGCGGAGCAGAG